CACCATAGATTTTCATGAAAGCCTCCCACGTTTCAGGCCTTGATGTTGACTCTTGCCTTGCCTTTGGCCCAGGGTGTAGGTTAGGTCTGGGGAAGGATTGGTTGCAGCAGAGAGGAGCTGGAGAAAGGGAAGAGTGAATAGAGCAGGACAGTCACACAGACTGACAGAGTGGGTTGCAGTGGCCGGGCCTAGATGACTGTGGGTTTCCTTTTGCAGAGGAAACCGTTGTCAGAGGCCCTGCAGTGCATCCCAGGGGTGAGCTGCCTGCAGGAGCTCCTCCTCACACCCTCTTCCCTGCAGCCTTTGGAGAAAGTGACTTCTTTCCTCTTCCTCACTGAGGAAGGGCAGTCCAACTTCTCCTTGGGGAAATCGGAGTGGGGGGTGGGTAGAAGAAGTGGGAGGAAGTGGCACAGTCCTGCCCTGTGTTGTAGGCTGGAAGGAGCCAGTGGTTCTGAGAGCTGGAAGCTCTACCGGCAATGACCAGAACAGAGCCCAGGTAGACTTGCAGGAGCTGTAGGGTCTAGGCCAGAGCGTGGGCCAGCACAGCCAGTGCAGGGGAAACTCTCACACATACTGGTCCTTCTGGTGAAATCTTTTTCCTGCCCTCCATTTCTGTAGCTTTAAGGGGCCCAGCTGTATTTGGGGAAGATGGGAGAGGGTTAAAGGTTTAAGCAGGGCTAAAGGATTTCCTGGTGCCCATGAGGAAGGAGTTCTGTGTCCAGAAAAATCCTTATTCTGAGGCAGTAGGGAAGGAGGTGTGTATAGACAGAGAGACCCGGGTCTTAAGTGGCACATCTTGGAGATAAGGAATAAGAGCTTGATCTTAGAGTCAGATCTGTGTTCAAGTCCTGGCTCTGCAACAATAATGACTGTGTGACCAGGCTGGTTGCAGTGGTGGCTCATGCCTGTAATCCCAGCACTTTGGGAGATTGAGGCAGGAGAATTGCTTGAGGCCAGGAGTTCAGGACCAGCCTGGGCAACAGAGCCAGAACTTGTCTCCATAAAATACAATAAAATAGTCGGGCATGGCAGTGTATACCTGTAGTCCCACCTACTCAGGAGGTTGAGGTTGGAGCTGCTCAGTTTAGGAGTTCAAGGCTGCAGTGAGCTATGATTGTGCCACTGCACTCCAGCCTGGGTAACAGCAAGATCCTGTCTCTAAAAAAAAAAGAGAGAGAGACTGTATGATCATAGGTTAGTTACTTAGCTCCTCTGAGCCTCATCTACTCACCTGTAAAATGGAGGTAAAAAGCAGTGCCTGCCTTATAAGGCAATTGTGGGAATTTAAAGGATGCAAAGCACTTAGGACCTGCTTGGCACAGGTACACTGTTATTATTACTACTACTTTGGACCCTGCTGTGCCTGGGTGTGTCCCCTCCCAGGTACTCAGGTTTCTTCCACCCTTTCCCCCTCCTCCCACCCCCAGGCAATGACCTTTCTTCTCTGGGAGTCCCAGGCCTGAGTGTCTGTGACCCTGGCACTCTTAGCTCTTTACTGGGATGATAGGGAGCGTCTGCTGCAGGAGGCTTCTGGGATGATTCAATTTCCCCAAAACCACACGCCCTGATTTTTCCTAAGTCCTCACTGTGGTTTCCTGGATAATGGCCCTCCTTGATGTGCAGGGTGGTGTGGGAGGCGGGCCAGCTGAGTCCCTCCAGGCCTAACTGTGCAGCTATGGTGAGCCCTTGTGAGACCTTCCCCAGGCAGCCTGTCCTGGAGCCCCAATCGCAGTCTGCGGTCTCCTTCCAGCCTGTGAGAGACGCTGAGCAGCCATCCCCATGGGGCCCTCCGTCAGGCATACACTGGCAAAGGCACCCAGGCCTACCAGCAATGTGGTCATCCCTTGCTTCAGGCCCTCAGCCCTGCCGTGGCTTGCAAGGGACAGGGCTGTGAGGGAGAGATGTGAGTACTGGGGAGGGGCCTGCAGTCCCCTGGAGGGACATGGCCTGCCAGGGTGGCACAATTTTCCTCCCCTGTCTTGCTTCTGCAGACCACACTTCTAGGTGCTTGGTGTTCCCTGGGAGAGGCGGAGCCAGACAGTCCCACCCTGCAACTTCAGGGGATGCCCAGGGTGATTTCAGTCTGGGGGCTGGTGTTTGGTTCTCCGCTCTAAATTAGGTTGGCTGTCAGAGAAAGAGAGTTTAAAAACAAGAGAAAGGGATTTGTTCAAAAGGTTGCTTCTCTGGCTCTCAGCTTTCCCCTCTTGTCCAAATTCTCTCCCACCTGCTGGGGTCCTGGTGACTTGGATGCCCTGCTAGTCTCTGACCTCCTCTTCTCCCTCCAGCTTGCATATAGGACACAGGAGGGTCTCTTGCTCTCTTTAAGGCCTGGAAGCCAGGGAAGGAAATGGAGGAGGAAGTGCTAGGTGAAAGTGAGAGACAGGGAGGGGCCTCATGAGTCAGGCAGGCAGGAGGCAGGCGGAGGCCGGCAGGCTCTGGAGCCTGGGCTGGGAGCGGCGGAAGCTGCAGAGGGGCGATAGCACCGGGAGGGGCATTGCCATGCTAGAGCACCACTGGGTGTAGTCAGGACTCTGTGCCTGCCCAGCCTGTGCCCTCCTTTTGCTCCTGGCTGGTTTCCTGGGAACTGTTGGGGCTGCTAACCGTGACCTGGAGTTCTAAGGCCTGAGATTTATTCTCCAGAGCTACCTGGCTCTCTCCCCTTCTTACCCTGCACCAGAATCTTTCTGGGGAAAAAGATGGGCCATGTAGCTGTCACCCACCAACTTCCCGGAAGATAAAAACCTTTCTGAAGAAAGAAAAAGTCTTTAAAAATATATGCAATCAGCTGTGTACATTGTAAAAGATAGATCTGTAAAATGTACATTGTTCTGTTATGACTTTTTTATTTTTTTTGAGTCAGAGTCTCGCTCTGTCACCCAGGCTGGGGTGCAGTGGCACAATCACAGCCACTGCAGCCTCGACCTGCTGAGCTCATCAAGCAATCCTACCTCCACCTTCCAAGTAGCTAGAACTACAGGCGTGTGCCACCACGCCTAGCTAATTATTTATTTATTTATTATAGAGATGCGATCTTACCATGAAGCCCAGGCTGGTCTCAAACCCGTAGGCTCAGGCAATCCTCTTGCCTCCTCTCAAAGTGCTGGGATTACAGACGTGAGCCACCATGCCTGGCTCCGTAACAACCTTTTTTTTTTTTTTTTGAGTTGGAGTCTCACTCTGTCACCCAGGATGGAGTGCAGTGGCACACTCATGGCCACTGCAGCCTCGAGTTGCTGGGCTGAGGCGATCCTTCCACCTCAGCCTTCCAAGTGGTGGGACTACAGGCATGCACCATCATACCTGGCTAATTTGTTGATTTATTGTAGATATGAGGTCTCGCCTAGTTGCCCAGGCTGGTCTCAAACCCGTGGGCTCAGGCAGTCTACTCACCCAGCTTTCCAAAGTGCTGGGAATTCAGGCATTAGCCACCGCCCCCAGCCCTAACAACCTTTTTTTTTTTGGAGTTGGAGTCTCACTTGGTGGCCCAGACTGGAGTGCAGTGGCTGTTCCCGGCCACCGCAGCCTCGACCTGCTGTGCTCCCGTGATCCTTCCGCCTCAGCCTTCCAAGTAGCCAGAATTACAGGCATGCACTACCACGCCCGGTTGATTTTTTGATTTATTGTAGAGATGAGGTCTCGCTGCCTAGGTGGGTCTCGAACACGCGGTCTCAAGCAATCCACTCACCTCAGCCTCCCAAAGGCGCGGGATTACAGGCTGAGCCACCGAGCCCAGCTCGTAACAACCTTTTTAAAAACCCAAGTTAGAAAACAAAACCAGAGAAATTGTGTACTTTATCATGCATTATTATAGAGAAACCTTCTGAACCTAAGTGCTAGCAATTTGTACCCCTAATATCTGAGTTTCATTCTTTGCCAGGGGGCTCTTCACAGAAAAGCTAGCAGGGGCCTGCTGACCAGCTCCTGGGCTGATTCTGCCTCCAGCCTGCCTGGGCTGAGGAACAAGTTCTGTGCTAGTTTGGGGACAACTCTGGCAGCCAGAGCCCCACCCAGGAGCTCTTCCCCAGGGTGGTGCTAGGACTGCGCACACCCCTCTGGAGCCTTGCCTGCCTACCTCAGTGGGAAGGACTATGGCCTAGACAGGACCTGGTGGGGCTCTGTGTCCTAGGGCTGCACAGGAAGGGGCCATGTTGGGAGTGACCACTGTCCTCTCCAGTTCCTGAGTTTGAGACGGGCTTGGAATGTCAGAGGAGGCTTGGGCTGGATGAAGATCCTTCTGGGTCTGATGGGAGGCTTCTGCATAGACAGTTTGTAGGGAGGACCAGGCCTGGCAGCCCAGGGGGCTTGGGCCTGAGTTAAGAGGCGGAGGGGGCAGCCCCCTCCCATCACCTCCCACTGTGGGAGCTTTTCTGTCCTCTCAATAAATCCTGCTTTAAAATAAAAAAGAGGAGGAGGGAGTCCAGTGCTGCTTTTCCCAGCTTGACTGCAGGGGCCTGGGCTGGATGTCAGCCCCTCTTGCCTTTGGGCAGTGTACAAATTAAGCAAGGAGATCCAGCAACCTCAGAGCCTAACTAGTAGGATGAGGCGGTGGAACAAGAGGAGCGCAGAGCACCTCCGGAGATGCTGCTGATTGTGCTGCCATCCTAGGGCTCCCCCAGGCCCCAACTCCTGCCTTCCAGGTGCTGCTCTCTGACCTTGGGCTCGTTTCTGTGACGCAGGCAGTGGGACCGAAGGCCCCGGAGGTTGTGCTGTGTCCAGGGCATCCAGGAGGCTATATCTGACACTGTCCCTGCTCTTCCTCTGCAGGCTCCAGGACCCGTGGAGCATCATGACCTGGGAAGAGTAGCGGAGCCCAAGAGACTCTGGGAAGAGGAAGGAAGAGCCAGCAGTTCCTTCTCCCGGGACCGACCATCACCTGGCATCTTCCTCCATCTGCTCTGCCCTCTCGGGCCTTGGAATAGAGTCAGCTTCCAGTGGGACCTTCCCCGGGCATGGGGAGCTGGTGAAGTGGGTCTCAGCGCCAGGGCTCAGCGGGCCGCACCATGAACCTCCAGGCCCAGTCGAAGGCTCAGAACAAGCGGAAACGTTGCCTCTTTGGGGACCAGGAAGCAGTCCCCAAGGAGCAGCCCGCACCCCTGCAGGCCCCGCAGCAGTCGGTCCGCGTGAAGGAAGAGCCATTCGTCGGGCCCGAGGGGCCCGTGGGGGCCCCAGCCTCCCAACCCGGGGAGCTGCCGCCGCCCAGCAGCCTCGCCCTGCTCAGCTCCGTGGTGTACGGGCCCGAGCGCCCCCCGGCGGCCATGCTGTCGCAGCAGGTGGGAGCAGCCAAATGGCCCAACTCCGTGCTGGCCCCAGGGCGCCCGGAACGCGGAGGAGGCGGAGGTGTCGGCGACAGCGGCTGGCAGCAGCAGCCAGGCCAGCCTCCGCCGCACGCGGCGTGGAACTGCCACAGCCTGTCCCTCTTCAGCGGGCCCAAGGCGGGCCCGCACCCCAGCGCGGGGGTCTCGGCCTACTACAGCCACCCCGAGGCTCTGAAGCGCGAGAAGGCGGGGGCTGCGCAGCTGGACCGCTTCGGGAACGCTGCCCGGCCGGGGCTGCCCCAGAAGGCTCAGCTGGAGGTGGGGCGGCCCCAGGCGCCCCTGAATTCTTTCCACGCGGCCAAGAAACCCCCCGGCCAGACGCTGCCCCTGCAGCCCTTTCAGTTGGCTTTCGGCCACCAGGTGAACCGCCAGGCCTTCCGGCAGGGGCCGCCGCCGCCCAACCCTGTGGCCTTTCCCCCGCAGAAGCAGCCGC